ATGGGTAAAAACCTCACTTCTTCAGATGCATGAAGAAGTGAGGTTTTTACCCATGAAAGCTTATGCCCAAATAAATCTGTTAGTCTTTAAGGTGCCACCAGACTCCTTGTTGTTTTTGTAGATACAGACTAACACGGCTACCCCCTGATACTTGACAGCTACGATAAACATTAATCTAGATTCCACTAAAAAGATGAATAAATGAAAAAATGAAAAGGGTCAGAAAGTTAGACAAAAAACAAGCAAACCAAGAATTACAGTTGGCATTCTTAGAAATCATAAAATCATAGAATATCAGGGTTGGAAGGGACCTCAGAAGGTCATCTAGTGCTCAAAGCAGGACCAATCCCCATCTAAATCATCCCAGCCAGGGCTTTGTCAAGCCTGACCTTAAAAACCTCCAAGGAAGGAGATTCCACCACCTCCCTAGGTAACAAATTCCAGTGCTTCACCACCCTCCTAGTGAAAAAGTTTTTCCTAATATCCAACCTAAACCTCCCCCACTGCAACTTGAGACCATTACTCCTTGTTCTGTCATCTGGTACCACTGAGAACAGTCTAGATCCATCCTCTTTGGAAACCCCTTTCAGGTAGTTGAAAGCCGCTATCAAATCCCCCCTCATTCTTCTCTTCTGCAGACTAAACAATCCCAGTTCCCTCAGCCTCTCCTCATAAGTCGTGCTCCAGCCTTCTAATCATTTTTGTTGCCCTCCGCTGGACTCTTTCCAATTTGTCCACATCCTTCGTGAAGTGTGGGGCCCAAAACTGGACACAGTACTCCAGATGAGGTCTCACCAATGCAGAATAGAGGGGAATGATCATGTCCCTCGATCTGCTGGCAATGCCCCTACTTATGCAGCCTAAAATGCCATTAGCCTTCTTGGCAACAAGGGCACACTGTCGACTCATATCCAGCTTCTCGTCCACTGTAACCTCCAGGTCCTTTTCTGCAGGATGGCTGTGATGAAGGATGGCTGTGATTAAATAATATAAATGATTGTTCCCCACAGATTTAAATTCAGAAGATAAGTGAGCCCAAAAGCAAAATATTTTTCCTTCTAATTTTGAATTATATCTAATGGAGTAAGATTAATGCCATAAAACTAAAAGAAGGCCTTTAACTAGGCTATGCTTACTTTAGTCACACAAAAGAGAATTTCTGTTTTGACTCCAGATTTGGACAAATTGCAGACATTCCATTCTGGATATAAGACAAACAGTCAGCTAGAACTGAGAAAGAGAGAGAGAGCTACAGCTAGCCAGATACAAGTATAAAAATGGATAATCAGATTATACTGTTTAACAGCTGATTTAATGGGAACATACAAATCATTAACAGCACAGGGGTCAAAATAAAGCCTGGCGTGGAGGGGTCACTAAAACAAATGGCTACAGGCTGTGCAGAAAAGAATCACAAGAGCTACATTTAATTTTCCAAAAAGGTAAGACTAAAATTAAGAAAATCCTGTAATGGGAAGGCTTGCCTAGAACTCCAAGACATCCTGAAGGATCCATGGTCAATAACATCAAAGGCAGCACAAAAATCCTCAAAATATGGACAGAAACAAGCCAGCCATAAATACGGACTTTCCGAGATCTCAATCCACTCTGGAACTTTTAAAGAAAGAAATTTGACTGAGTTGTTGCTACTCCTAAATTGCCATCACCACCTTTAAAATCATTTGCAATAAAGAAAGAAAACTAGAAGTGGAAGGAGAATGTCTAGCATTCAGAAATCAATTATCTGGGGAGGGGGCTTGATGGGTTAGGAAGTCAAAGCAGCTCTAGAGTAAAAAGAAAGGTTTAAAAGAGGCATTCACCCACAAAAGCTTATGCTCCAATAGTCTGTTAGTTTTAAAGATGCCACAGGACCCTCTGTTGCTTTTCATCAGATGATGTCCTTACTAAAAGTATCTAAATAGCATTTAGAATCCTTGCAAAAAACATAACTTCAAGTGATATCCAAAAAACAACAACGAGCAGTCCTTGTGGCACCTGAGAGACTAACAAATGTATTTGGGCATAAGCTTTCATGGGCTATAACCCACTTCATCAGATGAATGAGTGGAAAATACAGCAGGTAGGTATAAATACACAGCACACAAAAGCTTATGCCCAAATACATTTGTTAGTCTCTCAGGTGCCACAAGGACTCCTCGTTGTTTTTGCTGATACAGACTAACACAGCTGCTACTCTGAAAAGTGATATCCAATCTCTTCTCATTCTGACATATTTTCAATGATCTTTTTGATAAGAAACAAAGCTTTGTTTTCAGGTGTATGTTTTTTAAAATGAAAAATATTTATCTGGTGATGCTCAATTAATCTTGTCTGAAATGTTCATGATGTCCCCAAGTATTTGTAAGTTTGGTTCATACAATGCTTTGAATTATTTCATATATGTCACTTATTCAGTGGAAAAAATATTTTAATTCTAATAAACCAAGATAAATGTGCAGCTTCAAAAAGAATACAGAAATATTGTTTTCATTTAATATATTCTAATATTGCTATAGTGGAAAGCAACAGACCAGTTTATTGCAAATAACCCCCCAAATGTTTCATTTGAAGATTCACTTTTGAATTCACTCACAGGAAACATTTTAGAGATAAAATGGGAATCACCATTATTAGAGTGTCTTGCTTAAGCATGAAGCGTACTGACTCACTTATAGATCTATGTTATAGTGTCATAGAAATTGTTGATCTTTAAGATTAAAAGAACAGTTATCAAGGTATTAAGACAAACAACAGAATAAGAATTATCCCACCTATCATTATCACATGGAACAGAAAGTGGCAGGAATTAAATCAAAGAACCTGTGCTGTTGACTCAGCATATTTTTCTAGGGTCTGCTTCTCACATGGGATCAATCCTCCAAAGTGCTGACTACTCTGGACCCAATCCAGCAAAACACTTCAGCATGTGAAAACAGTCCCACTGATTTCTGTGGGGTTACTCACATTCCTAAAGTTATGCACATGTTTTAGAATGATATTGAAATTCTGAGAACAAAGGAAACGTTATTGAAATCTATATAAATATCAAAGAGTGAAATCCATCTATAATGAATTTTGATACAATGAAATGTTTTTTAAACTGAAGTCGAACTAAAGTCCACAGTTCTACTAATAAATTAGAGCAAGCACAATTCCATTATAATGAACTTCACTTAAAGTAAATTTATTCTGTGGAAATATTTCACTATAAAATTCTCCAGTGGAATATACCTTGCCCCTAACATTAACTAAAGTAGTAACAATCAGAGTCTGTACCTGATAATCTGAAGGCATGACAGGCCCGCCTGAGTTAGTGCCTGAAGGCCCTATGCGTGGTTTCTTATTTGGAGGCACCTGATTGAGGCTGGAGTCCTGGCTGTGCTGAAGTCCTGCCCCAGTGCCTCCTCCTCCTGCTCCACCTCCTCCTGCAGTCCCATTTGTCTGGGTACTGTTTTGCTGCTGCTGCTGTTGCTGAGGTGCTGCTTGCGGTTGCTGCTGAGGTGCTGTTTGTTGCTGATGTTGATTCTGTTGCTGTTGATTCTAAGAGAAAGCACAGCTGGGGATGGTCACTTTTTTCCTGAATTATTTATTTACATTTGGTATCACAAACTCTTCAGAATCCCTAAACCACAACTTGGGTGAGAACTAGCCACAGGACAAAGCACAGCTGGACTGTAGTGAAGAGCACCAAAGTAAGTGAAATATCTGTCCTCAATATGCTGCTATTTGCTCCAGGTAGATATTTGTGAACTGAGGAGGGAGGGATGAATTTCAAAGTTACTTAAACTTTGTGGGTTTGAAATTTCAGAATAGAATAAAATTGTTTGTGGTTCATTTCTAAAAATAAGGTGCACGGGGGGAAAAAATGCAACTTGAATGACAATCTAGTACCTCCTATCCCTAGCCAGCCAATCCAGATCAGCTTAATAATGAGAAGGATGGAAGGAACTATCAAGAAAATGGTGGTGGTCACATCACGAATGAGTGCAAATAAGCTGCGGCAAGGCAGCCAGAGAGCAGTGGTGAGCAACAGCAAATAAAGTAACAATACTTTGCACTTCAATGGCACCTTCCACCCAAGAATCAAAACAACTTTCCAAACATTAATGAAGCTTCACAGCAACCCTTTTGTGAGGCAGGTGGCATTATCTCCATTTTACAGTTGGGTCAATTGAAGCACAGAGAGATGAAATGAGTTGTCCAAGGTTACATAGTAAATCTGTGGCAGAGCTGGGAATAGATATTCCAACTCCTGAGTTACAGTGCTATGCTTTAACCACCTTGCAATGAGAGAGATGCTGGGAACAGGCCAAGCATGGTGCCCTCGACACGGGTCAGAGAGTCTTGGTGGTAGCAAGAGGAAGAGAGTTTGTTAGAGCAGACTGCCTGGAGATAGGGTTGCAGGCCAGTGTTTTCTGGGGCTGAAGGAAGATGTGGTGGCAGAGAATGAGGGGAAAAGGTAGCTGAAAGAAGGGAGGGGGAGAGAGATGTGAGATAATTGAAAGAGACTCTAGTGCCTGGTAGCAAATAAAAGAAAGGGGAAGGAGCCAGAAAGCAGAAAGAAAAAGGGCAGAACATATGGATGCAGAGTGTAGAAGCTGGAGAGCAAAGGAGACTCTGGTGGCCAGGCAGCAGAGACCTAAGGACTTGAAAGAATGGAGGGTGGAGCGTGATAAGCAAGAGTTCCACAGATATCCAGCTGTAAAGAAACAGAACCATCTGGCATTGTAAAAGGTTCTTATTGCCGGGCATCCATGCAGCCAAGGGGATTACAACAGTGACCATTTTTATTTGTTGTTCATATAAGATATAAAACTTTCTCTTTAGAGAAACAAAAACACATCTTTATTGCAGACTGAGTTTCACCAGCCAATAAATAAAAACTCTAAAATGTTGCTCAAAATATTTGAGCACTTTTTGGTAAATACTTTAAAACTTTATAAAATTCTGAACTCATTTCAGTTCTTCCAGGGTCTTGGGGGTGAGGGGTCTGCTTAACCAGACAACAATTTATCAGAGCTTAAATGTGGTCAACCTTTCTGGAAAACTTAAATAATTCGCTTCCCATAAGTCATAGCAACCAACTGCCTTCAGCACAAACTTCTTGGCAGACTCACTAATCACAAGCTATTTAGCATCCTCAAACTAAAGTGTGCATCGATTGCCATTCATCACGACAATGTCACAAGTTACACTCCAGATGAAATTCACAAGAATGTATTTATTTAGGACTGCACAAAGGCTCATACTGTCTTGCATCTACATGGAGGGCTTATGTCTCCCTTTCCTATCTGCTAAAGTCAAAAATATATCCTACTTCCTGTGTGCATCATACAAGTCACACCCAGCTTCTATTTCAGGGGAGATCAACAAGTTAACTTGTTATGTTTTTTTTTTAAAGTTAATGAAGTTTAACTTTTTAAAAAAAAAGAAGTTATTTATCTCACAGAGGTAGATCAAACCATTATTAAAGATCCAAATGAACTGTCATATTTAAGACCCCATTTGTATCATAGTGCTGAGATTGTCATTTTTTTCAATTAATTATTTAACATTTTGTGAGTTTTACATATGGGTGCTTGGGTCTGAGCTGAATCATTTTCACTATGAATCCCCACAGCTGCCAAGTTGAAACCTGGGCTGCATGAAAACCAGAGAGAACTCTCTCAACTGGGGCTAATGATTTGTTTCACGGGGGCATGGATCATGGAGTCCATGTTTTTTCTGGCTTTGGACAAGTGAGGCATGGAGATGATTACCTAGCTAGTTTGAGAAATCTGTGTAGTGCAGCTACTGTTCCTTTTGCTTTTGAAAGAGGATGAGGCCTAGTCTACACTAGAAAAGTTTGCCAGTATAGCTATAGTGGCAACTCCCCTAGTGTAGACAGCAGCTTATCCTAGCAAAAGAGTGTTTCTGCCATTACCATTTTTAACAGTTATCTGAATGACGTAAATTATATAAATGTGGAGAATGAGGGCTATAACTGTGTTATTTTGTTATGAACATTATATGTACCTCAGTTTGCCTGCCTGATATTATTCTGTCTGACTACATGGAGTTGAATTTAGAAGGGGTTGTAAGGAAGAGCAAGCAGAGACCAAAACAATGGTCAGAGATAAGCTCTGGGTAAACAAGTTCAGAGGGACAATAGCTGGGCGATTAAATTGGGAAGACGCTCTTCCAAGATGCCGGCTAAAAGCCACACGCTGTTTTGCGAAAGCCAGAGCCTAGATATCAAAAGGACCATAAATAGTTCAAAGCAACCCGTGGAGAAGGGAAGGGGTTGTGGGAACTGCTACTAGAGGTGACACATTTTGAATTCAGCGGCACAGTCTGCAGAGGTGAGGTTACCTAGGTTGAGTGGAACCCTCCTAAACTTGCATGGAAAGGAATAAGTGTAGGTAAGGCCAGACACATGTACGTTTTTGTTGTTTTCACCAATTTCTCTGATCACAGGGTATCTTTGGGTGAATCAACAATACTTTTGTTTGGAAGGAGCTGTTCTGAGTCACTTTAATAAGTTGCTGGTCACAGACTCCTGGAGGAAAGTTTCTTGCAGGTGCCAAATACATACAAGTCTACTGTGTTAACATGAAAATAGGAGGATCCTGCCACCACAGGATCCAGTCTAAGAATGGTAGACCTGTGTGGTTACACCAAAAGAGAGGTAAGGCAGTGAAACCTGTCAATTGAGGGGTGCACTCAAGAGGGACTGCAAAGAGATCTAAGGCACAGCTCGCTCTGTAGCAATGACAGCATGGTTGACTAAACATGTTGTAGCTTGGAGGTCCACTCTAAGGTGAGATGAATGCCCACAGAGAGACAGGGAGAAAGCACTGATGCAGTTCACCCCATGACAACAGGCAAAAGCACTTACTTGCTAGTATAACTATGTCCACACTAAGGCTTTGGCCATATAGAAATGTCATAAAAATAAAGAAATCACACCAGTAACTGACATTACTATACCAGCAAGTTTCTAGCATAGACCTGCCTGAGTCTGGGAAGCAGTGCTGGAGACAAGGCAGATGCACCTCGCCCCCACAGGCTTTCAGGCACTGCTGCCACTGCAGGTCTGAGCTGGCAGGCACTGGTGCAGTGGTTTCCAGTGTTTTGAAATGGTTGTGAACCGTTAGAGGTCGTTAAGTGGTTTAACCCTTTTTTTTTTATGATGAATATTGGCAACCAGTGACTGGGAATTTGTCTTTTATTCTATTTCCAGGACCAGATCTGCCTCACAGGGTTGCTGTGAAGCTTTATTACTGTTTGGAAAGTTGTTTTGATTCTTGGGTAGAAGGTGCCATTGAAGTGCAAAGTATTATTACTGTTCATATAAATTACTGTGGCAAACAACAAGCTTTAGTAAGCATGTATTACTTTTTCAAGACATTTAGTAAACTATTTCAAGACTGTATTTTACGTGACAGCTATTGCGGAATCATTGTTCCTTCATGTCCATCACTGCAATAAAGGATTTTGCTGTTTTCACCCATTAAGGTGAGTATCTTCCCACTGAAGGGAAATTTGTCACTGCTCTGATTATTGCAGCATTTGTGACAACACAATTACGTTGTGCCTGCACTCTATTAGAAAAGTAAATCTGACATTCAGGAACTGCATAACTCAATGGGATGAAACTTGTTATATAGTAAAGGTGTAAGGACAGCAGCACATTCACCTGCACTGCCGCCCTCATTCATTCTACTGTTTTAGTTAGAAAAAAAATCTAGCCATGTGTCTGAAACAAGGGGAGGTTTACTTAGGAAAAAATCATTGGGTTTTGTTTTTGTGAATACTTATTTAACTTTGCTGACTAATGAAAATTTTGGAGAAAGGATGTTTTTATTAAAGATTTACCCTTCCGTTAAAGTATAAGAGCTCCAGATACACCATCTCAGAGACCCCCTGTAAGTCTTTCAGCAAAACCAGGAAAGACCAAACTTGACATTCCTGATGTTAATATGTTTTTAAAAAAAAATATTGTAAGCCTTTTTTATACATCATAAAGCAGCAAAACATGGTACAAATCCATTTTTTAAAAACACCCTTTACTGGTTACCTTTAACAAACTTTTCTTGTTGTGGAAACAGATTCAATGAGTAATACATAGTTTTAAATGTCATTTTTTTCTAAATTAATTAGATATGCTGCAAAATCTTTATTTATAGCACACATAAATATGCGACAGTCCCCACGAGACACAAAGGCTATTTACACAACAGATCATAATAGCGGCTTTGAATATTTATACTGTGCGTGTCATTTTTGTTTAATTAAATAAAATTTCCCAAGAAAACGAAATGCAAATATATACTTTAACACTCACAAATGAGTAAAATCAACTTAACAAAAGCCAAACTCATTTGAACTCATGTTGTTCCTTATTGTTCAGTAACCGAAAGTTTAAAAAGCATTGCTAAATCTCGGAATTTCAATTACATCAGTATCATGACTCCACAGCTATTTTAATTTAGATTTTGTAATTTCCTAGTCTCAAAAAAAGACCCGGGGAACAAAATCCTGAGGATTTAGTAGATTAACATTTCCCCCTGCTCTGACACTGTCACATGTAAAAGAAATACTAATCTACTATATCAGCTCAGAAAGTAGAATTTACTCTTTCAAATGTATCATTCATAGGCACAGCTTTAAATCAAACTGGGCTCCCATGTTGTACAGACTATCTGAACCAGAGGACATGCATAACCAGAGGGGTTCCTCTTGGATCAATAACAGGCCCTGCCCCTTGCAGACGCCAGGACACAAATTGATTACAGCATGAGGCTTCTTTCTCTTTCTTCTGTTAGCCATGTATTACTAACAGTGTCTGACTAGCTGTAAATTTTTAAGTTTAGGAAAAATACAAACAATCTTATTCACTATAATTTACTATGCATTAATGTGAAACTTTCTAATGTACTGTGAAAAGTTTTGGGACAGTCTTGCCTTCAAAACACATTCCTGGGTAAGAGCCCATGTTCTTTTAGTTTCCCTTTGTGGCATCACAACTTTTTTGTTACATTTTGAAAAAAAGTGCCTTTTATTATACCTTATCTCCTTTTTCTTCGGGTTCATCCTCATTGAGGAATTCTCGTTTTGGATAAGGAATCTGGCAGCCAGCAAACACACTGAAATATATCAAACAACAAATCAGAGACATACTAAACATACATGCTTCTGAAATTAATTTATTTAATGTCATATATATTTCAGGGCTTTTTCTTTTAATGTTTGTTACACCTTGACTCCAAATTACTAAGTGACACCCTATAAACACCCAACAGATATACAACTACTGGTAGATGTACACTGATTTTAACTTTTGCTATATTTGCTGTTGGCAAGCTGCCTTCCTCTAGAATTATAGCAGAACTGAGTGAGCACAAATGACAGCACAATTATTTGCTGTCCTGACACTGCATTTGTTCACTTTGCTGTGTGAATCAACCAGAAACTCTACAGCACTTAATTGGAAGTATGGATGGCACAGTGGATTGAGGGCCTGATCCAATGCCCATTAATGTCATGGGAGTCTTTCCCATTGACTTCAATGGCTTTTGTATCATGCCCTAAATGTACTAGCTATTCATCTCTGAAGAACTGGAATCAATTAGTCTCAGGGGCCTTGTTTAGAAGGAGATAAAAAAGTAGCTTTTAGATTGAGTCAGCTAATATGATTTGAAATACTATTTAGTATCTAGTGTACACACAGTTTAATACCTTTAAAATCATGTTGCCAGGTGTTGTGACCTAGGCAGAAGTAGACCAGTATGAGAGAACAAAGACCTACTAGTAGATAATATTTTGTACCAATTTTAGTTTCAGCAATTCTTGCTGTTGAACCTTTGGGGGGTAACCTGTGTTGCAATACAATCAGCTTAACATGATTTTGAAAGTGCTAACCTGGGTCTACGATAATTGCTAAGTGGCATTTCAAATCATAATGGCTAACTTGATTTTTTTTTTAAATTCTTTTTTCCTAGTCTAGACTAGACCTTTCTTCCATGAGGGCTCCTACATCTGGAATCCATTCCCTGTCTATCATGCCTCCTCCATAAATTCCATTTTAAGCATTCTGTTCTTCTAGGAGGCTGTGGAGAGTGAGGGGGATATCAGTATTATATTTTATGAATATCACATATTCCTCAGTTTACCTGCTTGATATTAGCTTGTCTGGCTGCATGGAGTGAAATCAAAGAAAGCTGTTGCGGGGAAATACACAGAAAACAAACAATACCACAGATCAAGTACCTTCAGAGAGAATACCCAAGGTTGTTAAGGGAACAATGAGGGAGCTATTACTTTGAAATGCCCACCTGCCTGACTCCAACAAGGCTAGCAAGGACCAGGCCAGAGCCTAGGATCAGTGGGGACACTAATCCAATAAAGGCCCCAGCCTAGGGAAGATGGGGGTTTGAGTGGGCAGCAGCTGCTGGAGGCGGATATCTGATTGACAGACAAAGAGAATGTTGCAGGGACTCTCTCTCTTTCCCAAGTCCGGGGAACTGGTACTTGGGGTAAATGGAACTTACCTAAACCTTGAAAGGAAAGGAGTAAAATGTAAGGCCCAGGCAACAGGCCTCTTTGTTTTAACCCTTTGCTCTGCTTTTTATTCACCTTTGAGTGAATTAACAAGACTTTGCTTTGAAGGAGGTGTTTTTGAGTCACTTTAATTGGATCCCGGTAACAGGCTCCCAGAGGAAAAGGGCATACAGATGCAAAATACAGTTAGGCCTGTTGCGTTATCACAGTTGGTAAACAGGGAACCTGCAGTCCAGAGATCCTGTCTATGGGTTGTAGGACCCCCTGGTTCCACCCAGAGAGGCATTCACTTGAGAAGGATTGAAAGGAGTCTAAATGTGCAGCTTGTTCTGTAACCATGACAGAATCCTATAATCCCTAGAACTCCCCTCAAATAATTAACAAAAGAGTAAATATTTTTTGAAATCCAAACAAATATCATAGGACTAACAAGACTCATGATAAATGTCATTGCTTGATCGCTCACAGACTTTTGTTGCATTGTAAGCTCTTCAGGGCAGGGATCTCTTTATTATACATTTATAAAGTGCCCAGCACAATGGGGTTCTAGTCCATGACTGGAGATCCTAGGTGCTACCATAATAATAAATAAAATAATAACAAAATAAATAAATAAATAATCCCATGCTGCATCTGTGTATTTTGTATTCAGATAATAAAGTTTCCTGGACAGGGTTTTTATTGCCTTTCTGGCTGAAAAGCTCCTAGCACCCTGTTGGCACAATTAAATAATTGTATACAAAAAACACTATGTTAAAAGAATAGTCAGTTTGCAAAGACAAGCACTCAAATGTTAGGAAATTCAAGAATAAAGGTGGCCATGCCCCTGCATACAGTTATTAATTACTTGATCACATGCTATTTTTACCACAGCATCCCTGCCTCACTAAGTACATGGGATGGATAGGACTCTTCAAATGGGTAGATAATTCATATTTCTTTTTATCCTCTTCAGAGAGTGGGTGGCCTTTCGCCTTATTTACTGCACACCATCCAACTCCTGCATGGAATGCAGAATTATTAATTTCCTCATGAGCTTTTCCATGCTGCTCATCATTGTGGCATAAGAGTACTTCACAAACACTAATGCATAACATTTATAACACCCCTGTGGGTAGGGAAGCATTACCATCCACATTTTATAGCTGGGGAACTAAGGCACAGAGAGATTAAGGCCAAAACTATCAAGTGTCCACTGAATTTGCTCAACTTGAGATCCATTGGCATGTGGATAGCAGTTTATATGTTCAAATCACACCTCTCATTGACATTAGATGCAGTTGTGAGTACTCAGCACATTCACAAAGCAGAACCTAGGTTCTCAAGCTGGGGACCCATAAAATGAGGAGCAAACCATTAGTGGACAATTGTGAAAAGTTTGGTTTAAGTGACTTGCCCAGCACCACATAGGAATTTCGTGGCAGAGTCAAGAACAGAATCCAGTTCTCTAGGATATCATTCAACTGCCTAAACCATGAAACCATCCTTTCTCTTCCTGCAATCTCCTTCACTACACACCTCCAACTTCTGCAACAAATGAGGCAAAGGTTTTACAGACAGCCTCATTCACTACAGAACACTGTGCAGATTCATCCTGTACACTGAATGAGGCAGGTGTTCTGTGGAAAAGCAGCATGTTATCATGTAATTAAAGTCTGTATCATAACACATATGCACAAGGGAGCTGAATTAAGCTTGCAAGGGCAACCTGAAGTCTGGCATTTCCTAACTTTTGAGTGCTTGACTTTGTAACCAAAATGTTCTTTTAATGAAGTATTTCTGATGTAATTTCCTAGAACACAGAAAAAACATTCTATCGTGACAAGCTATCATATTTTTCCTTAACTTCATTCTCAGAAACAGCTAAACCATTTTTAAGTGAAAACTTCAAATAAAAAAAAAAAACCCAAGACCTGAGGCAATCCCTACCCAGCATTGAAAATTTCAGCCCAAACGGTTCAAGTTTGATAAAATTATAATGGAAAGTGGTTCAGCAACCTTAACTACATCAGATGCTGCTGCCAGCTCAGTCTATAATTAATGATAAGACACTAGATTGAGGCCATATGATAAAGCATTTTTGGTATTCTTATAATAACAGCAGATGTATCTGTCCATGTCACACCACCTCCACTGGCATAATTCAAGGTCTCTGCCTAAGGGAGACTGTAGACTAAGATAAGAGGGGCTGATTTATAAGTAATTGTCCAGAACTAAGTACATTATGTATAGCTTGGCTGAATGATGTATGTCTAAGAGGGGCAAATCTACAAGAGTTTGATATAAATACTTCAGAATAGTTTTCTAAGACCCATCACTTCTTTCCCCCCACCATTTACCCACTTTTATTGAGTGCAGCAAGTATAAAGTTGTTGCTCCGCCTATCACTGGTTGATTTACACCACTGGTGCCCCTAGAAAGCTCAGAGGTGGACTCACGGTGGTGAGAAATATGTTCTTGTTACAATCACATTTCTTCATTTTTAAATGGTCACCATATACTGCACATTAATAGTTAGCAAAAAAAAAAGCATCATTGTAAAGAACACAGAAAAAGTGAGACACATACTCTGACGTAGGCAATGGATCCTCCTGGAAATAGGGGTCCTGCAAAGCCTGCTCTGAGGTAATTCTCTTCGTAGGATCCATGGTAAGAAGTTTTTGAAGCTGTGTAGTGTAACATTGGAAGTAGTAAACAACAAATGAAACCATTATTTTTCAAACTAATGGCTTGTATGCCCCACTTACATCACGATCTGGTAAACTACAAATGGCTCATTCAGAAAAGCAAAATAAGCATTTCATGCTCAGCAACACGTCTAGTTCTATGATGCACATGCATCAAAAATATTATGACTATGAAGTTTTGTTTATATGAAAAATAAAGTTAACTGGGCTAGATTCTTCAGTGCGCTATGTGCCACCTTGAGCTACTCAAATAAAGTGACTCTAAATTAAGTGTAACTGTCCGTGATGGATCAGCCCAATATAAGGGTGAATCGCTGCATCACACAGATGGAATAGGAGTTATTATGTCACTCCCTGCTGCTGGCAGAGCAGGGAAAGAGGCATAGAGGAAAGTAGGTGAGATCAAGACCTCCTTTTGCCATGCCCTTTGGTACTCTTTGTAGACAATGTATGCAAGAACAGCCTGAGAGGACTGGTCCCACACAAAGGCTGCATCCAGATCAGAGTGCAAAGGTGATCTTTATGCTACTATTGTGCATACACCCATGGCCTGTCCTCTTTGCAGATGAGTTACACTATTAGTACCCGGGTAGCACTCTGCTCCCATATGAGAGACAAAGATTCTATGCCTGGTAGCTCTTGCTCGCAGATGTGAACATTATGCAGGCAATTTGCTCAGCCCCTCGCAGGTAAAGGCCCAACACAAGAGATGGGCTTTGGAGTGTATTTGCAAGGTTTATAAGCTAGGACTCTGATGGGCCTTTCTATATTATAGGTATGTTAAATAGCAAAGAACTAAAGAAAGTATTCTTCCTTCAGAAGGAAAGGTGATCCCCCTACCCTCTCTCTCCCACTGATACATATATAATTCACAAACTGACATATGATGTAACTATACAAAGGGATTACTTTTCCCGTATCAGAAAGGCAGCCAATTCTGGGGTGAAATGCAGAAGCCGACAATGGCAAATTTGTTAAAATATTAAAAGCCAGGGCTGTAGCCATCATTTATATTTTTAAAATTCATACTTCTCATCCTCCGGTAAGCAGAGACAGAACTGTTTTAATATTACAATTATATTTCAAAGTAAAATAACCCTAAGAGCACAATGATGTACATACCAAAAGGAAAACTTTACTGTCAGGCTTGACTTTGTGTTTCTCCATGTATTTTATGAGGCTACTATTGGCATATCTGAAAAATTGTAAACACATTTCAAAAATAATATACTGTAGGATTATGGCACTGCACCAAGCAATAAAGAAAATGCATACTAGTCCAAAAGGACACATTTTGTATTTCATTTGTTAGAATATATAATGTCCTACATTGCCATACACTATATTTGTGAAGTGTGAACGTTTGTCCTAGCTTTCAGTGTTAGTATTTTTTAAATTGTTTGTACTTTATTACAATAGAACGTACAGCTTTGATATATGGCTGAGGTCTTGATAGTAGCACACAGCCATAGCAAATGTTGTAGGGAGGGCAGAGCTGCCCTATCCTAGTGGAAGCTACTTTGTCAGACAGGCACAATAGCTCCAACAGTGTAGCCACTGCATCATCATTTGCCATTTGAGAAGCTGTTGCAACTATTCCCTTCAGCTGGCAGAGAAACAAGCCTGTCCCTTTTCCCAACAGAAGCATGAGCCATGTGAAGTCTTCGCATTTTCTGAGCTCAAATATTCCCATTAAGAATAATCAGACATAGAATGTATGTCTTGCTTTTAATCTCTAGATCTCTGTGGGTAACTATGATTATTTTACAAAGAGGGAAACTGATGCACAGAGGCATCAAGTGGTTTGCCAAAGGTCACTCAGAAAATCCAGGGCAGAGCTGGAAATAGTACTTAAATCTCCTGAATCCCAGACCTGCATCTTGTCCAGGACTATGCTGCTCCCTTTACTATTTCCCTTCCTTGTCTACCAGTACAGCGGATGATCTGACTTACTCAGCAAAAACTCTTGCCAGCATTAAAAGATGGACACTAGCATTCTTTTAAAATCCAAATAATATTCTTCCCAAGTCTAAACAAGACAGAAGATAATTGAAGGTAATCTCTAGTGCTGACTTCTGTGTATCTATTACAAGCAGTTTTTAACCACCGTCTGTGGTATAATCACTTACGTTGTTCTTCTAAAGTCTTTTTGAAGTGTGGGATATTCTGGCATCTTCCTTATATCTTCCCAGTCTTTATCTTAGAAAAGATAAAGCAATCGGACAGTTTAAAGTGCAGGTTAAATAATATGATGTACATAAACTGTAATATTTGTCTGACATTTTATGTTAGTTGTTCTGTATTGTTATTCCACAAGTCCCACCACTTTCTTGGGCAGAGACTTCACATCCATCATACTGCCAGCTTTTATAAAGCTATAGAGCTAGTAATTTCCTTTAAAACAAAATCCAACTCAAAGGGTTTATGTCTGACCTTTTAATGAAAGTAAATTACCTGCTGGGAATCCCATTACACTAAAAATGCGGTCTAGCTGATCATGATGAAAAGGATTGCTCGTTTTGATGTCTTCCTGACGACAGTGAAAAATAGGTTCTGAAGTCAATAGCTCAGCAAATATACACCCAATTGCCCATATATCTAGGAAAGAGAAGATAATTTACGTGAATTGACCATACTCCATCAGCCTGATTTCTATTTTACACAGTAAAGACACAGTAACTCACATGAAAATTCATTACAATAATTTAAAACATGCAATAAATTAACACACGGGAAATGGAATAACTGGATCACCACATTTTAGGTTACAAGCCAAATCAAACAAACTGTCTATCTGAAGTTGGACTCTGGCAATCTAAGACAGTATAGCAATACATTCAGAGTTACAGCAGAAGCCCTCCCAATCTGCTGACAACTTAATCGCTTGAATGTCCTGAAGATTATCTAAAACAGAACATAATGCTCCAAAAAGGATAGATGGAAATAATAGCTCTATCAGATACTCTCACGCAATTCCTATAAGGCAATCAAATATATACTGATAAGGAAAAATTATAACAGCTTGTGTGACTGGGCAAACAATGCAGACTAGATAAAATGAAGAGAGCAAGATCCAAATTTTAGCTAAGAAAGAAGACAGACTGTAGCTTTCTCAACCAATTAAAAAGACTCTGATACATGCTCGGTAATGCCCATTGGAACCATTTTACAACAGTGTACTCTACAGTAGCTTAATAGCAAGTGCATTAATGAACAGTACAACAGACTGATCATCTCAATGAAAGCAAATTCTAGTAACATTGATTTGATACAAAAAGGTTTTGTGTTCTGTCATGTTAACATGGTATTCAAAACAAAATCTACCAGAACAGCAATTTCAGTTATGTTAAATAAATCTATAGATTATATATGATCTAGCTAACTCCACTAACAGCAGTCCTAGAGTTTTCTGTACTACAACAAACTTAATTAGGCTAAGCACCCTAAAAATGTACAATAGTCAAGCAATGGGCTTGAGGACGGGGAAAAAAAATACTGGCAGCTGAATTAGGCATCACCAGAAAAATAATTTTTAATTTTTCTTTATAGTACCCTTTGTAATATTTTCTCTAGTTAGTTTTCAGTCTCCCAAATTTCTCCACTTCCTTTGAGAAATACCATTCCACAAGTCAACATCTTATCATCAGACATTTTCCTGATGGTCATCTTAAATTTTCCCTTTCAATATTTCATCCGATTACTTTTATACACATTTAGGTCACATTCTCAGGTGTTGTCTTGCTTTGATTTTATTATTAGGGGTATTCGCATGAAAACAACATCTTTTGTTCTTAAGATTTTATCTCCTGCTGCAGCATGGGCAGCCTGGTATTTATATAATTTCTATGTGGGTCAAGTGAAAAGACTTAATCATTGAATCTTACATGAGGCGTTTAACTTCTTCCACTAAGAATAAAATATGCAATCAGTGATCTCCTTTTGGTGGCAAAGATGACCTGGAAAACCTCCTCAGATATGGCACATTAAACCTGGGTCTTTGTGATATAGATAAACAGAGAAATTACATTTCTCTGTTCTCGTGGCTTCACAAAAGTTGCCACAGCAACAAGTGGAATTTTTTCTATCACAACTTTTTTTTTTTTTTTTGAAAGACACACAGGCTGTAAACTCAGCATTTCGGGTTAATGTTTCATTTACTCAAGAAATGGATTACTGGGCAACATGAAAGTATTTTAACTATGTTGCTTTTCAGTCATTACATTATTTAATATCTGCAGTTAATAATTCCTGAGTTTAGCCTGTTATGCCTCTTGTTGGATTCCCTTCAACCGTCTTTAGGGTATTATCAAAAATATCCTTAAGAGACTTATTAAATTATAGAAAATCTGTCACTTATTTTTTATAGAATCACAGATTTATACAGCTAGAAAAGGCATCATGAATTGCAATCCAAGTGGATCAGGATTTTCTCTAAACTAATCCTGAGCTTTATGTAACCCGCTCTAAAACATATCCTTGGCAGATACTACTGCAACTGCTTAATTGCCCTTACTGCTAGGCAGAGTCGATAAAAATCAACTATTTTTTAAAAATCAGATTTTTAAAATTTAAATCGGATTTTCTAATTTAAATTAAATATGGGCTTATTTTATAAAAACAAACATAAGTAAATCTGAAATTATGACAACCTACATTAAGATCTAAACTTATAATAATCTATTAAAATAATTTAAATTACTTTTTTTTTAAATTAAGCAATACATGTTTGCTGCCAACTTTCAAAGAAAGTCAAATCACTGAACTGGCAGAAATCACTGGCTAACCACCTGGAACATCATGGTTTACTGAAGTGCTAAACCAGCTTTTCAAATCAGTAACCACTTCTGCAGGTGCAGAAAGAATATTTTTTTATTTCAGTTTATTCTACTAGTTCAGCTCAATGACTAATTCATTCAAAGTTGAAAAACCAGCTGGGTGATGAAAAAAAAAGGCAGGAAAGTTTGTTTTCCTCTTCCAATATATTAAAAAAAACAGGTGGGAGAGGATGAAATCTACGAGTTCTAAAATCCTGAAGGACGTGGTGACCAGAAACAATCAGTTCAATTAACCAACTACGAATTCTACTTCCTTTGTTTAAAAATTAAGTTTGTTTTCAATGCAAAACTTATTTTGATAAACTTTTTATCTTCTGTATCCAGCGCTAACTAAAGATAAAAATTAAAATGCTGTTTTGTGCATTTTTAATTGAATTTTAATTTCTATCCAAACAAAACTTGACAAATCATGTACAAAACTGATAATAAAAAGATATGAAATGTAAAAATTAAGAATCTAAGTAAACATGAGTTAAGCTATATAACTGCTTAAATAAATATGTATAGATATATATTATATCCACCTTATTAGCAAAACAAAAAAAACAACACCACCACAAAATTTAGTGTAAAGGCTATATTTAGTTACAAATCAACATGTTTTAATGGTTGGCAACAAAGGAGACCCAACCTTTATTTAGGAAAATAACTAAAAAGTATAAATGCAAAACAAGATTAAAGTATAGAAGCTCCTTCAGTACAAGTGTCCCTATACACACCAGTGTATCTCCCGGATTATTTGAATTAAATCAATCATGTATAGTTTGGGTCTCATCTTTTTGATAAAAATAAGATATTCGTGCCCTTATCTACCATATGGATCCAATCCTGTAAACAGTTAGGCCTGGTCAATACTTAAAAGTTAGATTGACCTAACTATATTACTATGTCAACCTAACCCCTGGTATAAACACGGCTAGATTGATGGAAGGATTCTACCACCTTTCAGAGAGATGGATTAACTGTAATCAGCGGAAAAGCCCTTCCATCGATGTAGAGAGCATCTATGCTGTGGTGCTGCAGCAGCTGTAGCCGTGGTAGTGTAGATATAACCTTAGTACACCATTTAACCCCAGAGAGTTTTAACCAAAGAGACCAGATCCACAATAGTAACCACTATCCTTGGAAGTGAGTGTTTGCAGGGTTGAGCACTAAATGTTGAAATGAGATTTTAAAAAGTCTTTCAAATATAAAATATATTGCTTCTCCACCTTTACAGCTTCAGGGACCTCATATAAAATACAGCATTAAAACAAAAGTTTTCGTTAATATTTATAATATTTACAATACATAAGTTGTAAAACACCCCGAAATAATAAAAAAACAGTAAAAGTCTACCACAATAGGTTCTTCCCTTTCCCTATCCCTAAAGGTCAGGAGAAGGGATATTTCACTGCTCTGGAGCTACTGAAGCTAAAGCATGGACAGTGTTCATTCTGCTCCTCTATGCCCCCAGGACCAAAAGCACAATTCCCTCCAAACTAGAAGGGTAGCAATGCATATAAGGTTTTAGAAGCTCAGCAAAATAGTGTAACAAGGTGACATGCTGGCTTAATATAGCCAAGTTTTTTTATTTTACTACATTAATTTTACACATATTTGATTTTCTAGTAACAAACTCTTGCTATATTCCAACTCTGGTCTACAGAAACTGAAAACGTTGCAGCCTGGACTTGATTCCATACGTTTCTGCAGAGAAAGCACATAATGGGCCCTGATTTGGTGAATGGCAATATCCTGATCCATGAACCAAATTATATTACTTTCCCTGTCAGCCTGGTTCTATCTCCCACTCTCCTTTTCCTATGCTATGGTGAAGATTGAGAGATGAACACATCTACCCATGACAATGGCTCTTATTTCATTGATAAAATACTGTAACAGAATAGCTTATAGTACATTTTGGGATGGAGGATATGGCAAACAGAAATAATTCCATCTATAAAGGGTTTCATTTAGAAGTGGCAAATTTCAAGTTCAGATGCTTACTTGGCCGTTACCTCAACCTTTTGAACTCTGCTTTTCACTATTGTAATTATTATCCACATATTTTAAAAGTGTCTCATGATGTTTTATAACTGAGAAAACAGACTTTAAATATATCCACTTTCACTGGCTATATGCTGTTCCTATAAGTGCCTGTATGCCCATGTTATTGGAAAGTGTTTATGATTGGCAATGTCCTAGCTTTGAACTGTGTGAAATAATGGCTTTTTAGGACAGCTGCTAAATTAGGACGCATCCTGCATAACCCATGTCACATTAGCACTGTAGCTAAAGTGTAAGTATACATGGGGAATTCAAAGGGAAATTAGTGTGAAATAGCTAGGGTCTGAATTTAAAGCACAATAACTCTTCAGCACTAAATTCTCCACATGGAGGCTCTTATTCTGCACTAACAAAGGGTGTCCACATGGGAGTTAGTGCAGAATAGCTATTCAGCAGTTGTAGATTCTGGGCTTTTCCTTATGTAGACAAGCCCTTACAGTGAGAGATTTAAAGAGCCCAGTCTATTTAACTTATCTAAAAGAAGAATGAGAGGTGACTTGAATGAAGGGTAGGAGTACCTCCATGAAAAGAAACTACCAGGTATTAAAGGGTTCTTTAATCCAGCAGAGAAAGGCATTACAAAAACCAATGGCCAGAAGCTTAAAGCCAGATACATTGAAATTAGAAATAAGGCATAATTTTTTTTAACAGTGAGGGTGATAACCCACTGGAACAAAGTACAAGTGAAGTGGTGTATTCTCTATATCTTGAAGTCTTCAAATCAAGGCTGGTTGCTTTAAGATATGCTTTAGCCAAACGAAGTTATGAACTCAGTACAGGGGCAACTGTGTGAAATGTAATGGTCTGTGATACACAGGAAGTAAGACTGGATAATCTAATGGTCCCTTCTGGCCTTAAACTCTATGAATCTATTAATCTGTTTAAGAGAGTTTTATCCTTCAGCCCATTACCACAATATCTGAGTGTTTTCCACATAAAATCAACAGCTATAGTGAAATCTCTAGTGGACTTCCTGGAGAATCTGGAACGTATCCCTTTTCAAAACTGTGCTTGGGGTACAGGTTTCATTTTTTATTGGTTGACATGGATTTAGGGATTCAAGGTACTGTCAGTGAAGGGGGCTGCTGAAGCAAGAAGAAAATCTTTCAGCATGGAGTAGAGTGAGAGAAGAAAGAAATGGAGATAGGCTCTATGTAACAGGTATACCCGTAACGTCCAAGGACAATTCATAAAGATTTTACAATCACTAAAATAGATACTACTCAAAAATCATTCCAAATTTTACATACAACCCAGAGTAGACTGGCAAGAGTATAATCTGTTTAAGTTTCTGTGTGATCATATATGCAGCATGCATGTACTGAATTCAGTTACTGATATGGTACAGTTTGATCCTGAATCTCAGTATATTAATTCAGGGTTCCCAAGTGATCTGGACACACTATGATACTACAGAAACACAGCCTGACAGTTATTAAACATAATTTCTTCAAGTACTTAAAGATAGGATAAAATATAATAAAAATATGTCTAAATATTTAAAGATGGGAGAAAAAAATCTCACTTTTTTTCTTTATTTCTGATATGGGGGGAAATATTTGTCCTTAATTTACAAAAGAAATCCCATTTCTTCTTTTTTAAGGTCAGTTTTTCGACTATTCCTTTGAGTGGGACCTTTAAATTTTATTTCTCTAAGCACTGGAAGAGTGGCTCTTGGAAAAGATTGGTTATTGAACCAATGTGACGCCTCATATGCCGATCTGATGACAGGTTTGCATAAGCTAGCATATGAAAGGCTTTTCACCAGGAAGCAGGCAGTGATGCTGATGGGCTATGGGCCAGGAGTTTTTGGTACCACTCATCTAGAAGTTGGCAAATATTCATTGAAGGTTTAACAAACAGCATCTCAAAGGAACAGAACTGAAGAACTGAAATTTGTACTGTGAAAATATGATGAGCAAGTTAGTGTTCTGTCAAACAACCCACATCTCAGAGATTTGGAGAATGTACATAGTTAGTGAGTATGTATTTAACACTAATATTTCATCACAAGAATAGGTAGTCTCTAGGGTCATCATATATAGGGCCAAGCCAATTTTAAATCAGATAGAATAAAACCATAACATGCAAATGAAGATGAAAGATATAAAACCAAAAGTCTGTATCTAATTTTTAAATACACTTGCTATTTGTTTGTTTGTTTGTTTGTTTTTAATCACCACTTCTTTAAACTGGCCTGTATTACAAACTTCCCTTAAGGCCTCTACTGGTGTCATGTTTTAAACTCTCACTGATACCTCTTGAAAAATACTGAAAAATATTGGGTGAAATACTGGCCCCACTGAAGTCAATGGCAAAATTCCCATTTTCTTCAACAAGGCCAGGATTTCATCCACTCCATTTAGAAAGAATTCTCTTTACATGTCAAAATGTCTACTCTTCTACTTCCATCGCTATGCCCCATAATATTTCCATAAGATGATCCTGAGATCTTCTGAGTTCAGCGGCTGCTGTATATTAGGCATCTCCAGTTCATAATCTTGTTTGCAACATTACATTCAATTACAGTGGCAAGCATTGGGTTATGACTTCACATGGGGAATGAGCAGCAGGAACAGATGAACTTCTAAAGAACAGTCTTTTTTATGTACTGTAAAGAATAAATTATATACAAAAACTACATGAAAAGAACAATATCTAAGTTGCAAAATCAGAAAATCAAAAGTTAGGAAATGCCAGATTTAGGATTGCCTTCACAACCTTAATTCTGTCACCTCGTGTGTGCACACTGTGCACTGAATGAGCCAACGAACCTGTGGGGAAAAGCAGGATATGTGATCATAATCTGTATCATAATGCACAAGAATTAAGGTCATGTAGGCAACTGTAAATCTGGCATTTTCCAACTTTCAAGTGCTTGTCTTACAACCTAAATAATATTCTTTTAAATGTAGATTGGTTGTGTGGAATTTCCTAGACTTTTAAAAAATAAATAGGAAAAGTTAAAAAAATATTTTATGTACAACTATAACAATACTCCTATCATGCAGCACCAATGTTTGAACCCTGAGCGTTCAGCACTGCCTCACAAGCTGCTACCATTTGAGCAACAGGACTAGCTACATTAGCTGGTTGTTACCCCAGAGAGACCATGTGCTGAGTCAGGGGGGACTGGCCCATCTTACTCACCTTATCTCCCAATTCTCCCTCCCCGAGGATTGGAGGAGCTCCAGCCCCATTTGGTGCCCCAGGGGGCAGGGAATTTGGGTTGCTAGGGCCAGCTGCTGGGTTTGGCGGGAGTTGGATCCTGGTCTGGCTCTCTCCTCTTTTCTAACCTGTGTGGTGCCCCTAGACGGGGGCATGGGTGACTGGTACCACAGGTAGGTTGGGAGTATTGTCCTACCCCCTGCTACACCTGTTTCCAGGTGTTCTCAGTACAGCATGTCCTGATGTTGAGACTTCTGCTTTGCCAGAAACATCAGCTCAGCCTCAGAAAATGTGCTTAGTTATTATTTTGCCAGGCCATCAAAATTTTCCTGAGACACAAGTGAGAAAAGGGAAATGGCCATTTTAAAGTTTATTTCTCACCAAAAGCACAATTGGATTTCATGGGATTTCCTCATCGAATATCATAGGGCTGCTGCAAATAATGGAGGTCAGAGAGCTTCTCACAGAAAAGGAAACAAGAATATTTTATAATGGAAACCGTTAGGCAGCCCAAATATAGGGATTGCTTTATCTCCCCCTATAATGATGAAGGAATTAACATTATGCAAGAAATACTGCATTGGCAAAACTGTTTCGTAACAGAATGTTTTATGAAGATTTCCAAGAAGCATGAGCGGCCCTTTAAAACCTCGTTATGCTTTGCAATTTTAAAGTGACTGTGGAGGGTGTGGCCTAAGCATAGGACTGGAAGGCCATAACTCCTACTTTCTAATCTTGGCTCTGACACTGACTCCATTTTGACAGGTTTCAGAGTAGCAGCTGTGTTAGTCTGTATCCGCAAAAAGAAGAACAGGAGTACTTGTGGCACCTTAGAGACTAACAAATTTATTAGAGCATAAGCTTTCGTGGACTACAGCCCACTTCTTCGGATGCATATAGAATGGAACATATATTGAGGTAGTATATATTGAGGTATATGTTCCATTCTATATGCATCCGAAGAAGTGGGCTGTAGTCCACGAAAGCTTATGCTCTAATAAATTTGTTAGTCTCTAAGGTGCCACAAGTACTCCTGTTCTTCTTTTTGACTCCATTTTGGGACTTGGGCAAGCCGCTTACTCTCTTTGCCTCAGCTTCTCTCCTGGGACTTTCTGTTAATAAAAGGACACATCCCTCATAAGTATGTAGATGCCACTGTAAGGCATACTCCAGGAAACAGACAGATATTGAATGCACACAGAGTAATATACACTGTAAAAAGTGAGACTCAAAGAGCACTCCAGTACCAGATGGTATGAGCGCTCTGGCATGTAGCAATGAGTCTCAGCTGGACTGACCAGCTCAGTGCACCTCACACACTGTTATAATATTTTTCCAAAATGGGGCATGTAATATATTACTGGAAAACTAATAACTAACTGATCATTAATCTTCTTTTATGATATAGGTACAGAAAATCTAAAAAGAATTATGAAGACAAAAGAAAGGGTCTGACACCCCAAGCCAGGACAGTGGGTTATTCATTTGCATCAGGGATTGCAGGAAGAGCATTTGCATTGTAAAAAAAAATCACAAGTGGGAAGAAGCTAGAATGGCCTCTACACCCAGCAAGGGAAAGGAACATTATCTGGGGCTACACTTCAGAAGAATACATTTCAAAGGTTTACTGGAGTATACAGAGAGAGGGAGAGAACCCCCAAGTTATCCTTGCCCTGAGGAGACAAAGAAAACCAAGCGCACTGGGCTCTGTGATCCTGACTAGCCAGCCATGTTGGAAGAATGACTATGTTGAAAAAACTTTCAACAAGAAGGCTCACGTTGGTTGAATTTCAGTCTTGCTAGTGTATTTTCACTATTCTTTGTAACCATTTCTATCCCTACTACTTCTAACTTGGTATCACCTAAATCTATGTCCTTATGTAGTTAAACTTGTTTTACTATAAACCAACTCACTGCTGTGATTGAAAGGAAGGGTGCGTTAACCCCAGTTAAGTTAATAAGCTGTTGTGTCCTTTCTCTTTAAAGGAGAAGCAAACTTGTAAGCTTTTCTGAATGTTCCAGCAAGAGGGACTGGACACTACCAGGGAGACGGTTTGGGGGAAACTCAGGACTGGAAAGTCTGATGGTGTTGCCCTGCAAGGAGTAACCAGGCTGACGGAAGTCAGAGTGACTCCATTTTGTGCTGAAAGCACATTGCTGATATCAGGGCTCTGAGCCAAAGCTGCACAGTACAGAGGCACCCAGGGCTAGAGGGCAGGTGCTGACACAACCCCTTACTGGTCTGGGTTGACTCCTAAAGCATCACAGAAGGGTACTGCTTTTACCCATGTTTTCTGAAACTTGACAACTGAGGAGGGAAGATGTATATATTGTACCGCTGAAAAGGAAAGGAAATGACCATTTTTCTCTTTTAATCTGAAGACAGAACATTAAATTGAACAATATGTTGGTGTGGTGTACACAATACTGTTCTTATGAGCTTAACTTCATGTGAAATTAAGATGGAAATTGGTCTCTAATCTCTCTCACATATTCCCATGCAACTGCTTTAATAAATTATGACACTTTCTGCCACCAGTTTCAAGTTTAAGAATGTCAATATGTTCCTCAGTTGCTCCAAGGTGAGAAAAGGCTTCTTCCCTGGTGGAATGAGTCATGATAAGAAAAATGGATGCTTATTTAAACTCATAGTGACTTCAGTGGGAGCTGGATAAAGCTTTTAATGCCTAAACTGCCATATCAGCTTCATGGGGAAGGAAGGATTAAGCAATATCTTACCTCTCAGACAAGACAGACACCGAGAGCAGGGCTTTATCTTCTTTCTAAGCATAGTGCTTTGCTTTACAATATATTAGTGTCTTTGTGGTTCAATCTTACATTAATTCATTGTATTATATATATATATATAGGACACAGAGTAACTCTTGTATCCTTATATGTAACTAAATTGGCCAGGCTGTGAAAGCACTAATGCCAGGAAGGCAGTCTGTGAAGCAATCCCATCCATATTTTGAGAATGAGGTAGTCATCTGGAGCGCAGTGCAGCGTTGAGAGATATCTGATATTGCTGTAATAATTACATTTGAAGTTCAAATTGATGAAAACTAAAATATCTCAGCATCAGGGTTTTGTACCCTTAGATGGCTGTAAAGGTTGGCACAAGTCAAAGAATTATCTTCGATCAAGTGCTGATATCTAGACTACAACTTGGTAACAAACTTTAGTAGCACTCTATGGACAGCAGCCCGTAGTTGAACCTTTTCAACAGACACTTTTATTACTGCACTGATGAGCTGGAGGAGAGGCTTGCAGGAACCCTTTGTTAATTGATGCAAACTTTTGGCTTTCTAAAAGAGAATCTTTTTATTTAAAAGTAAGTTTTTAGCCCAATTCCTTGTGAAGGGAGCCTTGAAAACATAAGTGATAACAGATTTCTGAGACTAATAAAAATTTGCAGCTGGGACCCATTTCTGCATCAGGAGGCTGAGGAGACCTAAAGATTCAATCCCACTATAATTTGTATGTAAAATAAGTAAGTTATGTTTGGGCATATCCCAAAGAATTACATAAATCCTTAGGCTAGCCCTGCATAGTGGTGTGGAGGAGATAGGAGAGGTGAGGGATAAAGAGGCAGTGACCAAAAAATTGTTCGTAACCCTCTGCAAAATGCTAAGTCTGGTTCTGCTTGTTAACATCTTCAACTCTCTAAGTGCACTCAATTATTGCTGTGACTGTGGCAGCAGCTGCAAGGGAAACTCCCTTATGTCCCCACATAGTCCTTGTAGACAAGCATGGGGAATGAACTGCATAGTCCCCACAGCACCACTCCCTAACCAGCTGCTACAGCAGTGCATGACAGGCTCAGGGGAGGAAAAGATGGGACTAAATGGCTGCTGTTCTAACTGAGAGACTCATAGACTTTAAGGTCAGAAGGGACCATTATGATCATCTGGTCTGACCCCCTGCATGCTGCAGGCCACAAAACCGTCCCTACCCTTTCCTTGACTCTGCTGATGAAGTCCCCAAATCCTGTGTCTTAGTGACTTCAATTGGCAGAGAACCCTCCTGCTGCAGCCTGTGCAGCCAACAGCCATAGTCCGAAGAGTTGGTGTTGGGAGGGAGCCTGGAGCCCCGCTCTCCTGCCCAGCAGCCTAAGGAAATCCACTCCTCTACCCCATCTAGGGAAAACCTGCCCAACTTAAAAGGAACCATTTCCTAAGTGTCTGCCCAGCACCAGAGGGAGAATACTCCCACTTAACCAGCTACTCCAGAGCCAGAGGCTGTAGGACAATCACAGCTGGTGTTGTGAGGAACAGCTACCAAGCAGAAAAAACAGGGGAGCCCCAGTGAGTCAGGAGCCACTCCAATGATTTAGGATTGGGGGAGAATATGAAATGGTAACATGTTTTGAAAGGAAAATAGTGAGGTGGAGTTTTTTGGGGGTGAAGGGGAAGAAGTTGGGGAGAAAGTGTGTGGAACTGATGGACCTATGTGAACAGAACGGAGAAAGACTACATTGCCCAGGGAACATTGTCTTTATCGCTCATTGAAGGAGCAATTTTTCATAATATTATGGCTTCACATCACTGGATTCCCTTCTTGAACCATCCAAAATATTGTTAGCCACGCTAATTATCCTGTAATAGTGTATCTCTGTATAATTGAACATGAAATATAAAATCAAAGAACTTGGATTCAACAGTCATTACACTTTGTGGGGGGAAAATCAGCCCAAGAAGAAGCTGAAGTGGCAGTGGAAGGTATTGGTAATGTAGACAGCACTGGGGCTAATGAACTTGCTTTTCCAATCCTGGGTTAGAATATATGAAATGTTCAGTGTCGATTTGTGTCATATTTTATGGTGGTCAGCTGATATTGGTAAATGGACAGTCTCACTGCAGCTCCTCATTTACCAGTATCAGCTGACTACCACAAAATATGACAAATTGAGATGATTGACAGTCTCTGCTTAAGACTGAAAATCCAAAGATTTTTATGTCAGGAATGAGGTGCATTTGGAGGGCTGTATGGGAAGCTTGGTTAGCTTCCTCAAATGCAGGGCTAAATTCACCCCAGGAGAAATCTAATCTATGTAGCTACTTATGTCCCTCAACACTGTTCTATATCTGTATCCCACAATTAATGGACTTTATCTTCACAACACTGCTGTGAATATTATTCTCACTTTACAGATGAGGAACTGAATCACAAGGTAGATTAAGTGACTTGCTGTAAACTACAAATGACATTTGTGGCTAAGCCAGTAATTAAACCGACACCTCGAGTTCCAGTCCAGGACCCTTATCCATTAGATCTTCCTTCCTAACCCGCAGTAGAATACCTCCCCTGGCTTCAGTACATATAGATTTGGCCCGTGTCTGGCTCAAGTCATTGCTATTAATCTCACTTTCAAAACCACTAAATGCACTCCAAAACTTTTAAAGATGCATTAGCGTTTCCTTTCAATTTTAGAAACTAAAACTTAGTTTATAAAAATGAAACACCTTTCTGATCAGACTACTCAGTCTGTATCAGCTAGAGCCTTTACCAGTTTATTTTTGGACATTAATTCTGGGGAATATTCTATTTAATCTTAACAGCTAATTTAGAGTGCAGACTAGACAGAGATACAGTAACTAGACACAGATATAACTAGTCCTCCAATTCAGGGAACACTTAATGTAAGCAAGACTGCTACATGGCTTTTAACTCATGGTAATTTGTCAATTCTAGCTGGCAGCAGTTTAGGTTTCACAAAATACCAATTCCTCAAGCACCCTTGAAATGTTTTATATAAATAACCTTGCAGGAAAAACTAACACCTGTTGTGTGTCTGCCAAAAAACTTTGCGCAGTATTTTGGTTTTCAGGTGACTGCAGTGATGGAATTAGTTTTTCCTTTCCAAAACAATCCTAGAATATACTATACTGTGTACACACAATATTTTTGAAGGAAGTCACTGTCAAGTAAGAGGGAAGTAACCCAAGGTACTCAGCAATAAATCATCCATTGCCTACTGCAACTAGATAAAGAGAGCAACATTTAATCTACTTTGTGCATTTCAGAAAAGAACGAATGCGTTATAACCAAAAACCTACAGTAAAGAAAAACAGTTAAACTATTATTGTTAAATACTATCTGAATTGTTCCTGCACCAACTGCACTTAGGGCATGAAGAAGGCTCCGCTATCCCTGTCTCTCCAGGGCCACTCATTGCATCCTTGTTCAGAAGTCCCATACACATTTTTCCTTTTTAAGCACTGTTCAGTGGAGGGATTCTTTTGGTCAGCCCCTTTTATATGTTCCACCAGCAGCTCAATGGCATGCCTTCAAAGGCAGAGGCTCTAGATTCATTCTTAACACATGACCCAGATATTTCCATCGTCTTCTCTGGATAACTCTCAGAATAAGATGATGTTGAATTCTGATAAATCTCAGCTTTTGTTATAAATACATTCCATTTGATACCTGGTAACTTCCTGGGGCATTTGCTTTCAAAGGCGTGTCTGCCTATACCTTTGGTGGATTTCCAGATTTCACATTCACATGTTAAGGTGGAAATATCTGAGTTGAAAATTCATAGTTTGGTCTTTAAATTGTAGATTTTTCAATGACCAAATCTTGCTGGTAAATGCAGCTGCCACCTTGCTAATTCATGACATTATTTCCTTCTGGATATTGCCATTGACTTGAATTTTACTGCCAAAGAATGTGAGTTGACCCACCTCCCATACTCCTTTGCCTTCTAATGTAAAGCTTAAGTTGGGAGCCAATATTAAACCTATATTTTGTGATGTTGGACAGCCTTTTGGTCTTTGCTGGCATGTTGGTTGAGTGGTTATACAGAAGAGCTACGTCATCAGCAAAAACTGTTATCTTCTGCTAAGCTGTTGCATACCCCGAGTAATGTTAATTAGATTGACTTAAGTGGTAGTATAGACTTGCACTGAGAGTAAGAGCTTCTTGTTTCTGGATAAGTATATAGAGACAAGCTCTCTTATTTTGGACAAAATGAAGTTTGAAGAGTTGGGACCTGGAGACCATGAATGAGGAAATGTAGTAATCAAGGTGAGAGGATGGAAGAGAATGAAAACTAAAGCAGAGGTCTGATTTGTACAATATCTGATTGGGGCAACATTTCTGAGGTTGTAAAAGGTAGATTTAGAATAACTTTTATATGCATCCATAATAAATTTGAAATAAGCTTCTCACAATGACAGAATAGTCAATATTCACAGCAAGGATTAGAAGTCTCTAAAGCTAACCTAAGATTATAGCTAAAAGCCAGATCATTTGCAATTAATAATTAAATGGAACAATATATGGACAAGAGAGGAAAAATATACATACTGTGGAAAATGAGAACCTATGCCTATGTTATTTATCACAATTTCATGAAATTCAATTTCAAAACCATTGAGGCAATTTCTCCTCCCGAATGAACAAGTTCTGTTCAATGAGTGCCTTATCTAATTCAAGAGCTATTACAGGGGTAGGCAACCTGCAGCACGCGAGCTGATTTTCAGTGGCACCCACACTACCCGGGTCCTGGCCACCAGTCCAGGAGGCTCTGCATTTTAATTTAATTTTAAATGAAGCTTCTTAAACATTTTAAAACCCTTATTTACTTTACAATAGTTTAGTTATATATTATAGACTTATAGAAAGAGACCTTCTAAAAATGTTAAAATGTATTACTGGCACGCAAAACCTTAAATTAGAGTGAATAAATGAAGACTCGGCACACCACTTCTGAAAGGTTGCCGACCCCTGAGCTATTACTATATTACTATATATATTCCACTTCTTGAGGGCTGTTAAAATTATGTTCCTCAGAAAGAAATTTCAAGATGTAGCTTAAGAGCTTCCTCCTTCACCAAAGGAATGTCTCTCTAATGTGTGGTCTGCAGTTGAAATGGCAACTGTTCCTGGTATAATTAGCCCATTAAGATTGCTTGGTAATTGCTCACAATGCTAGAGGCAAAATACAAGTTTGGACTCACAAGGAGCATACACATTACAATTGTCATGTTATAAGCTTCTCCTCCTTGCCTTCAAACTCTGCATAATTCCACACCCACATATATCTCTGTTCTAATTCCTTGTCCCCCTTTAACCTCTTCACTAGGCCAACAAATCTGGCCTCCCCACTGCCTTTGTTCCTTTCTCCTAACCTCATCTCCATGCTTTCTATCTTGCTACCCCATAAGCTTGGAATACACTTTCTATCCATTTGTACAAGGCACCACCCTCTCTTCATTCAAATCCCTGTCTTAAGCTCCATGGCAAATACCCTGGTCGACAACTGTGCTCCTCTGGCACCGCGGAACTCTCAACAAAAAGAGTAAAGCACGTCTGTGAGGGAAACAGAACTTCCTCTAGGGATGGCTTGAGACTGTGGAATGAATTCCCTCAGGAACTAATGATCATTGCAAACCTTATAAGAACAGCCATACTGGGTCAGACCAATGTTCCAGCTAGCCCACTATCCTCTCTTCCAACAGTGACCAATGCCAGGTGCTTCAAAGGGAATACACTGAGTGACCCATCTCCTGTCGTTCATTCCCAGCTTCTGGCAGTCAGAGGCTAGGGACATGCAGAGCATGGGGTTGCATTCCTGAC